GACCCAAAGGTTTATTCCAGGACAAATAGTTGGTTTCTGAGATTATTGCAAAGTTTTTCTTTTGGCCAGAAGTGACTACTTATAAGATCACCAAAGTGACTCGGAAACTTTACTTCCCGCGGAAAGAAGGGGGACATCAAAGGCAAGACCAGTTGGGTGCACCAATCAATGGACAATCATTCATTCAGCAACTCTGGAGAAAATGCCACAAATTCTCTTAAAGTGTAGTGTCTGAGATTATTAATTTATGAAGCGAATCAGCTCAGTTTGCAAAGACCAATGGAATCCCCACACTGTTGTAATCATGCATCATGCAGATGCACGATGAAAACCTTTATTCAGCCCAACAGTTGCACATGGAAATCAACCTCAGAGTTCAGAGGAAGCACCGACAAATTACTCATAATGACATTGATAGGCCAAGAAAGAAATCACTCTCACAATAATATTGCATCAATATCCAACTTTCATTCAAGATTATCCACTGGTTTCTATCTATTATGTAAAAGATAGTTAATACTTTATTCTCATTTGTAATTGTTTTGAAAAACAAACTATAAATAGTTTATGATGAACTAAATACCTAAATTTAAATATTTGAAGCTGATTTATCAAATCAGTCTAAATCCAAATAAGTCAACATTCAATAACTTGTTATAGGGTACACCAGTTTTCTCAGCTAGGCATTACTGCAGAACATACATCTGACACATGTGAAAAGTACCAAGTTGGTAAAAATCAAAGTCTTATAATGGGCTTTTTCCAGGAATTTGAATATTCTGAATCTAAAGCATTTTATACACTTGTCAATTATAGCAGTAATATGATGAGTTTTTATCATTTTTCTTAAGGAATATTGTAGAATCTTCCAGTTTATAGTCAATTTATTACAATGTATTTTAATATAAGTGAAATTGCAATCACGAATAATATTTTAAAAATCAGGGGAAAGAAATACACATAGTATATATGCCCATTTGTTTTAACTTGTTTTTCTCATTCTTCAGGATCACTGACAAACATGGGTTAACCAATCTCCTCACTGATTAGTCCAAAAAAAGCCATCTCATCACTATAGCAACCAGTATTATATCATGGGAATAACAACATGGAGGCACCTTAGTAACCAGTTTATCATAATTAATTAAGATATCATGTTGTGTTTAAATGAAGGAGGATGTATGTAGATCTTTTGGAAAATGAGAAAGTTACCTTTTCACCTTCAGCAAGCATCCAATGCATGCCTACAGCAGGGGTTCTTGCTGTTCAATTATCTTGAGTTTTTAACAAGCTTGTTTGGAATAATTGGTGTAAAAATAGAAAGTTTCTAGAAGAAGTCACCAAAGCGGGGCTGAAAGTCAGCAAAGTAATCTTGGCATATAACTCACTGTTTACAGGTGAAATAAATATATCTTTACTTATATCTTTTAAAACATTCTGAAAATGTAAGAAATAGTCTTCCTCGCAAAAAGTGTGACTAAGAACCCTTTAAAGTTCCAACTGAACTATCATTAGCAATATATATCACTTTTTCTCTCCAGTTGAACCATATATATTTAATTAAGTAGCAATTCATAAGTCAGAATTCAAATCTTGTTTTATGAAGCTCACAAATCCTGCCTTTGTCTGAAATTCAGCATGCGTAAATCCAGGCAATTCCTGGGTAGAAGAAAATGCCTTCTTGTTTCCTGTGGAACAAAGAGGAAAATGCATTATTGCAGTAAGTAAGAATTCCATATTGATGTGGCCATAAAAATTAATGTTATTATTGTTATGGAACCATCTTATTCTCATATAAGGAGGCAGAAGCTGTGATAGAGCAATCCTACAGGTATGATCTGTACTATGCCAGCTGCACTACAGCAGTAACAGGAAGTAGAGAAATATCGCTTTTGTAAATCATAATACCAATTCCAATAGACTGAAATCACTAACAACACAAGGCTGGTACAGAATTTCAAGAGCAGCAGCTGTGAGAGGGATCTTGGAGTCTTAGTGGACAAGGAGCTACAAATATGAGCCAGCACTGTGCAGCAGCCTCCAAAAAAGCTAATGCAATCCTAAGTTGTATTAACAGAGGGATATAGTCAAGATCAAGGGAAGTACTAGTACCACTCTATAAAGCCTTAGTAAGACCACACCTAGAGTACTGCATCCAGTTTTGTTCACCACATTATAAAAAAGATGTTGAGACTCTAGAAAAAGTACAGAGAAGAGCAACCAGGATGATTAGGGGACTGGAGGCTGAAACCTACAACGAATGGTTGCAGGAACTTGGCTTGGCTAGTCTAATGAAGAGAAGGACCAGGGGAGACATGATAGCGGTCTTTCAATATTTGAGGGCCTGCCACAGGGAGGAAGGGGTCAAGCTGTTTTCTAAAGCACCTGTAGGCCAGACAAGGAATAATGGATGGAAACTGAACAAGGAGAGATTTAACCTGGAAATAAGGAGAAACTTTCTGACAGTGAGAACAATCAATCAATGGAACAACTTGCCCTCGGAAGTTGTGGGAGCACCATCACTTGAGACTTTCAAGAAGAGATTGGACTGCCAATTGTCAGAAATGGTATAAGGTCTCCTGCTTGACTGGGCGGTTGGACTAGATGACCTATAAGGTCCTTTCCAATTCTGATTATCTGTTATTTTTATGGGCATCTTGAGTAAATAAAGAAGCTTTGAACTAGAAACATTGGTATGACATGGTATGGCATGGTATGATATATGATGTATGGTTTATGATATATGGTGATGGTACAGTAAAGCAACATTGCTTTAGTTATTTTAACCCTAGAAGCAACGTTAGAAAGAAATGTTTTTCTGTTGTCAGAAAAAAATATTCAATAGTATTTCAACAGTAATGGCCTTATAAAATTAGTTGAATATTTCATATGTAATGCTAATTGGATAGAAAATAAAGCCAGAAGGAGCATTATTTCTGCTATTCTTGGTGATTGAAATTTCCATCAAATTTCGGTCATCTTGATTAAGGGGAAAACATATCATCTTGTTTGCTGTACAAACTTTCTTTTTTTCAAAATGATGTATTTACTGATACATATTTCTTGTCAGAATAAACAATGGAATAAGAACCTAATGCTTTATAATGCTTATGAAGAAATAAATGCAACTTTTTTGTTTTCCCCACAACCTTTCCTTATATGTAAGCTATAAAAGGAAAGGATCCAGGTGACTGTTGTGTTAATTGTATGCATGTACATATTAAGTGTGAATTCTGCAATTTAATGCAATTTTATCTCTGTATATATATATGTGTGTGTGTGTTCATTGTAAGCTTTAACAGGTAATCTACATACATGTTATCTTTTCAAACCCCCCACCAATTTAAAGGTCTCTTAATTAGTTTTGCATCTAAATATATATATTTGCATATCTGAGCAAATTGTCAAAGATCAGAATCGCAACTGAATCTATAAAAACTAACACAGTAGATTGATTAGATAAGTATGGGACAGGTAATCCGAACCATTCCATAATTGCTTAACATCACCATCAGTTCAACATTAGTCAGCAGGTCAGCATCACTCATGTTATTCTTAGCTGTTTTGTAGAGCTAGTGGCAATAGTTAAATACCTTGTCCCTATTCAATGCTTATTGGAATGAATACCTGCAATAATATCATTTTCTGCATCCTTTAGTAAAAAAAAAAATAGGCACTCAATTAAAGGAAAATAGGAGCATCACTGATTCAAAAATGTTTAAAGAAATAAAGATTTATAAAGCATATTAAAGGAAAAGGGGAAAAACTGGTTCTGGATATGATGCAACTTCTTCTGTTCCTATTATTTCTGTTTTCCTTTCTTTTTAAAGATGCTAATTATATATTTCCAATATTTGATACAATTAGATTCATCGTTGCAAGTTAACACATAGGAGTTAGAGGATTGTTCTGAAACAAAACGTATTGTTGTATTATACTTAGATTGAAAAACTATAGTTTCAAAACAATTTGCTTAAAGTCCTATTTTCTGCTTCTCAACCAGGAAAATACCCAAAACATCTTATAGTATACTAAAAATAAGAAAGGTAATGGCAACAGTGAACAAAGGAAAGATGTATAAAGTTATCCAAAATAATTAGATTGTGACGTCACTTCAGGTCATTTAATTACTGCAAATTGCTATCTTCAGGAAACTTAGAGGCAGGTTGTTTCCCTAACCTGCTATCATAATAGCTATCAAAAACTGTTTCCAACAGACCTTGGAGGTAGGAATATTGTGTGTTTCTTCTTCCTGAAATCTGAATGGTAGAGCTTTATTCTTCTTTGTTGCTGATTTATATTCTTTTGATATTTGAGTTTTAGAATCCTTAGTTTTTAATCCCCTTATATAAATATGGTATATAAGTTGCTCTGAGTCAATTTCAACTGGAGCTGTATATATGATAGAAAGACAAAATTCAATTTATCAGAAATACATTGTGTCTAATTTTGTACCATGTAGAAGATGTGCCAGCTTTTGTTTGCATGATGAGTCATTGAAAAACACAGTTTAACCAAGCATGTATAAATATACATGTATCCTTAAAGAATTATGAGGGAACACTTGTTATTAACTAAGCAGGTTCATATTAAGACTGTTAATAGATTGTGCATAAATATCTACCTGTTATATTCTTGGACAATTAAAAAGAATATAGAAAGATCTATAACACTTTATTTTCAAGGTCTGAAGTAGACTTCTTGAAATCTTAGCAGCTGGATTTTTTTCTTCAGAGATACTTTTTTAAATAACAGAACTTACTAAACACTTATTAAATTCTTTTATGTTTTCTGGTATCTATTACATGAAGTGAAATTCTTATATTTCTCAAGCAACTATAAATTCTATCCCAGACTACTATTGAAGATATCTAGATGTATTGAACTAAAACTCCCAACAATATAATATGTGGGAAATTCTGGAAAGGCGAGTCAATCCAGTGTCAATTTACAAAGTAAATCACAATAGTTACATACAAAGAATATATCTATTTTTAGCATATATTCTTTATATGTAACTACAGGATAATGTAATACATACTTTGCAGAGTAACTGTGATAAGCCAGTTAAGATAAAAAGGTAAAATGCAATTGCATTTACAGCTCATTTACAGCCCCCCACAGAACATACATACCAAGTTGAAATGAATTTCTTACTTATTCATCAATTTTGTAAAGCAATGAATTAGTGCATCTATTTTAGCTATTCCCTATGATTGTACATTATATTTGCTCATGCATATATTGTGATTTTGCTTCAGACATGAATTAACTACAATTAATATTTTAGGGAATGGATAATTTGTTCTTTTTAAGTTTTTTTGTTGTTGTTGTTTTAGAAATCAGATTTTTTGTTGTTTTTCAGATCTGTTTGAGAACTGTTTAAAAAATGAAAGCATCATGGTTCTTTCAATTTAAACAACTTCGTAATTGTATTTTCTATAGAGCATGGTTTTTGAAAATGGTTTTCTTCTAATTGGCATGTTTATCTCTATTTTTTTCTAATTGACACAGTTTTATAAGTATTTTTATTTATATTTGTATTCATTTTATAAACTGCACATTGTGTTACAAGATTATGAAAAACAGAGACAAGTAAACATGCCAATGTTTTTCCAGAAGAATCACACTGGATTCAATTATTTAAAAACAAACCAACTGGCTGATTGAAATGATTGAAAACCAACAATTTCTTCATTCCTAGAAATAGGTTGAGTCAAATTTCAGTTTTTCAGCTGTTCACAGGAATCTGCCACTGTCCATATTGTCACAATATGATCTATTAATAAAAAATAATGAGAGGGATTAGAAAAATCATATGCTAAGTTGATTGATGTGTGTCAAGTGAAGAATATTTTGGATGTCTCAATATGTGTCTATGCACATGTGCCTCTTATTGTAGGTTCGTTTCCATTTCTTGCTCCACCAATATACAATGCCTGGCATAATGGGGTTTTTTTTTTCCCCATTTTTGTGTGTGGACTCTTGGTGCTGCCGCAGACTACTGTAAATGACAAGAGTCTCAGCAAAGAGGAAGGTTGCCTTGGTGATGTTCCTGAGGTTAAGGTCACTTTCCATTTTCAAAGACAGCCAAGGTGGTGATGTGATAGCTTTGAGTGATATTTGTGGGAGTGGTGAAAAGGGAGCTGCTGACAGGGTTGCGTTCCTAGTTCTTCTCCTCAGCAAAGGCAAGGTTTCTGTAACAAGATTTTTTTTTTTGTTCTTTTCAAAGCATCTTGATCCAAAGTGAAAATTAAATTACAAGTTTAGGCTCTGTTTGTTTTTAATCATACAGGAATGTGATCTATGTTTTTTTCTACTTCCCTCTAATGCTATATATTAATTTATTAATTTATTTGGAAATAAAACAGCTCAAGCAAGGAAATCTTGTATAGGTCCTTATCATGAGTTGATATAAATAGGTTATTAGAATATCCACAAATGGGATCACCTGAAAAATATATGGTTTCTGAAATAGAAACTACTACCATTTACAGAATCCTTGCGAATTCCATAGAATGTTTCCAAATGGAGCTCTTAATAGCCTGCTTATTGTTTGCTTTGCTGAAGCAAATTTTTACTAATTAAAAAATACACACAACCAAATATATGTGAAGAAAATAAGGGTACTATAACCATTTGCAATAGTGGCAAATATCAATAGATCGGGTGTAGGATGAGCATGAAGGTTCATTCTCCAAACGGGTTGGTTTCCAAATGTTTCATTACCAGGCTAGGTAACATATTCAGCAGATTTTAGTGGATGTCAGTGTTAATGTTCTTCTGTTTATAAGGGCTTTGGGTGTGGGTGTGTCAAGTGAAGGTCTTGTAATGGGTCATCAGTGAGAGTCTTGGGATGGGGACATTACATCAGATGATGGTCGTTGGGAGGTGAAGTGCTGTTTGGGGAAGGCTTGTGTAGGTTGCTTGAGGGTTGATGCTATCTTTGGTTGGCTGTGCGGTTGATTTGGATTCTGAGAGGTTAGTTGGCTGGTTGTAGGTCAAGGTATCTGTTAATGGAATTGCTTGTGGAGTGCCAGGCTTTGATGAATTCATGAGCATGGTGGATGGTAGGGTGGGTGGTGATTTTTTTATCGCACCAATTGAGCTGGTGCTGTTTTGTATCAGTGTGGGTAGAGATTAAGGATTTGGGATCGTGGTGTTTGACTGCCAGCTGGTGTTTGTGGATCCAAGTTTTTAATTGACATAAAGTTTGTCCCATGTAGAATTGATTGCAATGGTTACAGTTGATTTTGTAGATTACATTGTTTTTTTTCACCCTTCTATATCTTGTCTTTAGTTCCAGATAATTCCTGGTGGTGTGTGGCTGTGAGTTTGTGGGCTATTGCTATTCCTAGGGGTTGGAGGATTTTGGTTGTCATTTCCAACACCCCTTTTGTATACGGTAGGATTAGTTTTTGCATGGGGGTTGACTGTGTGGTTTGTTTTGTGGTTTGGGTGCAGTGTGTCGGATAGCCATCATAGAGAAAGACTTCAAGAAGCCATTTCTCTTCCGCTTTTCTTAGTATTGGGGTTTCCAATGTGTCCTGGCCCTTCTGAAGAAGGTCTGGACACAGCTTCTTTTGTGTGTGGTGGGGTAGTTGCTTGCAAAGCTGAGGATCTGGTTCAAGTGTGTGGGTTTGCGGTAGACTTGGGTTTCTAGTTCTCTGTTGTCTAGTTTCCTTATGTTGATGTCGAGGAATGGGAGTCGTTGCATATGAATTTGATCCCAGGGAATATGCTATTGAGTAGGTGGTATGTTTCTTCAATTTGGGAGCATTGGATGATGACGAAGGTGTCATTGATGTAGCATATCCAGAATTTTGTTTAGATGGTAGGTGGAGCTATGGATATGTCTAGATCTTGCTATTTTTTAGGTATGAGTTAATAGAAACAATCACTACTTCTTTGTCATGTTGACAGGAAAGACATCTGGCCATTAAACACTTAGTTTAATTAGCCGTGGTTCTGTGAATCCTAGGTAAGAAATTGAAAACAGATAGGTTTGTATTCTTTTTTCTTTTTCTTTTTATTGTTCCTAATACAGTAACCGGCAAACATAGTTAAACTGTACAAGGTTAGCACTGAAATCAATCATCTTTCAATGTAATTTATCCCTTTACCCACCTAATTGCTGTCTATCTCTGCTCTGCACTCGTGTCCCAGTTACCCTATTAAACACTATAATTCTATGGTCTACATCGCATACTAAGCCATGATTCCCAACTACCTCTTACTCCTCCCGTTCCTGCAGTTGCTCTCTCTTGATTTATTTATCCACCCTGCCAAAAGCTGTCTTTATGAATTTATTAGTATGATGTTCCTCTTCGTTAATGCTGCATTGTTGATTGTGGCTATGTAATGAAGTGTTTGTATTCCCCCCCTCATCAATCTAAACTAGTCAGTGTGCAGACGTCATTTGGTAGCAATGTGTGTTTTCGTTTCATCTCCTTCAAGCCCTTAATCTTCCAATCTTCTCGCTCGCTGTCGAGCAAGTTGTTTCACGAAGCCTGACAGGCTGCCCCCTCTACCGCTGGTCTCCCTGGAAATGAAACAAAGGGGATTAATATTTTATATTTCATTAGCATTGTTATGTTTCTGATTCTTTATGTGGATTTTTTCTATGAAACCGTTGACATAATCATGGAGCATGGACGTCATTGCTATTAACCCATGATGCTTCCACAATGGGATACCCCTTCCATTTTATCAAGTATTGTAACTTTCCCCTATTCTTTCGGGAATCTAATACTTCCTCTACTCCATATTGATCATCTTTTATTGGACCAGGCAGCATTTGTGGTGAGTCTATATCTTTATATATACGTTTGAATAAACTGCAATGTATTACAGGATGTATTATTTTATATCATGGATATAAAATGTATTATTTCAATTGTACAGTCACCGGATTAATTACCTTTACAATCGGGAATGGTCCAATATATTTTGGCCCTAATTTCTTACAAGAAGGACCCAGATTTATACATTTAGTGGACAGATATACGAGATCTCCAATGTGGAAAAGTTTTTGTTCACTTCTCCATTTGTCAAATTGGAGTCAGATGTCAAATGAAGGCATCACATAAGGCTTTTCTTACATATTTCCATGATTGTTGTATTTGTTCATACCATTGCTTCTGCGTTACTGGTGTCTCTGTACTATGTGGCAATTCTGGAATTGGTAGTAACTCACTTCCATATACTATTTGAAATGGGGTATATCCTTTGCTGCTATTTATAGTGTTATTATAAGCGAACTCTGCGAATGGTAATAATTCAGATCAATCATTTTGTTGATAGGATACATAACACTTTAGTTATTGTTCTATGGCTGCATTGGCTCACTCTGCAGCGCCGTTCGTACTCGGGTGATAAGCGGTACTTAACCCCTGCTGTGAGCCTATCATTTTCACAAACTCTCTCCAGAATCTGGCTGTAAATTGTACCCCTCTGTCCTGAAATAATACATCTTGGTACACCATATAAGTGATATATATGTTTTAGATACAAACCAACTAATTTCTTTGCAGAGGGTATGCCTTAACATGGAATGAAATGCACCTGTTTTGAGAACAGATCTGTTATGGTCCATATTACGGTGAACCCATGACTACAAGGTAAATCTACAATGAAGTCCATGGCAATATCCTGCCATGGTTTAGCTGCATCAGACACCTTTTGCAATAGTCCTAAAGGTTTTCCAGGACGGGCCTTACTACTAGCACATACCTTACATTTTCTAACGTAACGTTCAATATCTCCCTTCATACCTAACCACCAAAATTGTCTCTTAACTAGATGTAACATTTTAAGATATCCCTAATGACCAGCTTGTTTGCACCTTTTAAGTACTAGTTCACGTAAGGTAATCGGTATATATAATTTCATTCCTTTCCAAGCTATTCCATACATTGTGTTTTATTTTTCTGTAACCAGGGATCTTCTTCTAAAGCTTTTAGTAGGTCATCTATTACTTTATATTTTAATGTTTGTATGGTATCTTTACCCTATATAATAGGTTGTATCAGAGTTTCTCTTTTACTATCATATTGTGGGAGTCGAGATAATGCATCAGCTAGAAAAATTTTACCTGCAGGCACATATTTCAAAACAAAATGAACCTCTGAAAATAAAGTGCCCATCTAACTTGTTTGGGGGATAGCTTGCGAGGGGTCTGTAGAGTTTCCAAATTTTTATGGTTGGTCCAGACCTCAAATTGTTCTTTTGAACCCTCCAGGAATTGTTGCGAGGTTAACAGTGCCCATCTTACAGCAAATGCCTCTTTCTCCCAGATTGCCCAGTTTCTTTCGGTTATACTAAATTTACGTGAGGTGTACACACATGGTTGCAATACATTGTTATCGTTCTTTTGTAATAAAACGTCCCCTATTGCGACATCACTGATATCTGCCTGAATGACAAATGGTAATTCTGGTTTTGGATGTTTTAGCCCCAGCGCTTGAACAAACATCTGTTTAAGGGCATCAAATACCTGTTGACATTCCTCTGTCCATAGTATAGCTTTTCTGGGTTTGGGTTTTTTTTTTTCTGTTTGTTGTTTGTTTTTAGCAAATCCATTAAAGGGAGAGCTATCATAGCAAAAGATGTGTCAGCTTTAAAATTCAGCTGTCACATTTCAAGGAAGTGGGGGTGGAGGAGTTAAAAAGTTCAAGGTTGTTCTCAATTCCAGTTGCAGTTAATTGGGTCTCGTGATTTATGAAATGTAGAAGTGGGAAGAGAGAAGGTGGATTCTGTGAAACGTACGAAAATAATTTCACTTTGGGAAATTGCCTTTGACATACCATATTTGTTTCTAAATAAACCAATTGGAGAGAATATGTCTCTGAGTGATTGATATCATGGATACTTTATGGATGCCTTACAGGAGGGAATGAACTGCCAGTAAAAATTGGCAAAACCCAAAAAACTTTGTAAATGTTTTCGGGTTGTTGGTGCTTTCCAATCTAAAACCGTTTTTACCTTCCGCAATCCCTCTGCGGATATTCTATATTCTAAATAATCCAACTGAGACTGATGAAATTCACATTTAGACAACTTTACAAATAATTGGGCATGTAACAATTTTTTCAAGACTTGTCTTACCAAACGTATATGTTCATACATTGTTTCAGTATAGTTTAATATATCGATCAGATATACCAAAACACCTTTGTATAAATGCTCATGCAAAACACCGTTAATCAATTGTATAAAAACAGCAGGAGCTCCCTGTAACCCAAATGGCATAACCCTAAACTGATAGCTGCCTAAAGGACAGTTAAATGTAGTTTTCCATTCATCACCTGCTCGGATTCTTACCCTGTAATAGGCTTCCTGAAGATCTAATTTCATAAATACTTTCCCATGAGCTAATGTTGATAACAGATCTTTAATTAAGGGTAATGGATACAACGGTTCTTTGTATACAGCATTCAGATCCCGGAAATCCACACATAAACTTAATCCCCCATCTTTTTTCTGTCCAAATAATACTGGAACTGCTATATGTGCTCTACCTGGTCTAATAAACCCCCTCGTCAAATTAGTGTCTATGTATTTTCTCATTTCATCCATTTCTTGTGAGGTCATGGAATACATTTATGGCTTTGGTAATTTAACACCAGGAAGCAACTCAATGGCACAGTTGGTTGGTCTATGAGGCGGTAATCGGTCACTTCTTGTTTCATTAAAAACCTCGGCTAAATCATGGTATTCCAGTGGATAGCCTGGATTTATAATGTGAGATATTAAACCAGCCATTGTTTCGCTAGGTGGCTCAGGACCTTCTATTAACCTGATTTTTCTGAACCCCCCTTCCCATAAAATAGTGGGTCCCCACTTATCCAGCAATGCCAACCCAAGAATTACTGACTCAACAAATGATACAATACAACAAATGAAATGTTTTCCCAATGGTCTCCCATTTTCATTTTCACTCACTCAGTATGATACACAGCTAGTTTTCACCTAATATGGATCCATCTACTTGTTCAAACTTTATAGGAGTTTTTAACCTAATTTTAAACCTAATTTTTCCACAATCTTATATGTTACTATACATCTTGTACAACCAGAATCGATTAAAGCCCCCATATCCAGGCTTTTGGTTGTTTTTATATTGGTAAGAGTGATGGGTATTATAAAAGGTGAAATAGGTTTACTTACCATAGGATCCTCTATTGACTCATCTTCACTTTCTACGTCTTGCACCAAAGCCTTTCACGCAGTAGGCATAGTGTCATCTAATTTTATTTTAGACTCCACAATTTAATCTGTCTGCCCTCCCCACTGGAACGTTCAGGTGTTCGTTTATTTCTATCTCCAACTCTGTTCTCTTCTTGAACCTGTTGTCTTATTCGTCTCCTTGGACTTGATAAAGGAGGCATCAGACATTCAGCCACGCGATGCCCTGGTTGATTACATCTATAGCACCAAAACGTGCCCCTACCAAATGGTACTTTACTGGGTGGACTTGGATGAAGAGATGGTGAGTGCTAACCTTCTCTTAGCCATGGTTCTGGGAATCCTAGGTAAGAAATTGCAAACAGATAGGTTTGTTTTCTTTTTCTTTTTATTGTTCCTAGTACAGTAACCGGCAAGCACAGTTAAACTGAACAAGGTTAGCACTGAAATCAATCATCTTTCAGTGTAATTTATCCCTTCATTCCACCCACCTAATCGCTGTCTATCTCCGCCCTGCACTCGTGTCCCAATTACCCTATTAACACTATAATTCTATGGTCTGCATCGCATACTAACTAAGCCACGATTCCCAACTACCCGTTACTCTGCCCATTCCTGCAGTTTATTTACCCACCCTGTCAAAAGCTGTCTTTACGAATTTATTAGTGTGATTGTTCTGTATTCTGTACAGTGGTAGATTTTGTCTTCTGTACAGATGCAGATAGATAAACTCAACAAAACATTCATACAAAGTCTTTATTATTGGTTCATCAGGTATCCTCATAACTCACATTTGTGACGAAGTTCTTCTTAATGTCCAATCCTTTGCATATCTGTCTTGTAGGTAAAAAGATGGTTATATCCTTACCCCTTTCCTCCCATCTCGTAGGGGTAGATGTAGAGCAGTTACCACAAGTCCGTGAGTTCAGACAAGAGTGAAGAAACCTCCCCCAACCCATCAAGGGTCAATTTCGTGACCAATCAGGATTACAGATGTGGTCACGTGACATGGACTACATTTCCCAGGATACCTTAACTACATTTACCATGATGCATTCCCTTAAGGGGACAGCTCACAATTGCTAACTAACTATCCTATTCCCATACACTGGCTGGATAGCACAATGATGTTCCTCTTCATTAATGCTGCATTGCTGATTGTGGGTATATAATGAAGTGTTTGTATTCCCCCCTCCCTCATCAGTCTAAACTAGTCAGCGTGCAGATATCATCTGATAGCAATGTTTGTTTTCGTTTCATCTCCTTCAAGCCCTTAATCTTCCAATGCTGTCGAGCGAGTTGTTTCACGAAGCCTGACAGCTAGCTCCATTCAATTGCCCAGACCCTACCCCTTAAGGGATTATGGGGCTGTTAAAAGATGATGATGACTAGTTCTTAGTAAGAGCACGACCTGGATAATATGCAACAAAGCCATTAAGAAAACCATTTGTCTGCCATGGGCATTCTTTTGCCAGAAACACCAATCACTGAAAACAGCTGTAAATGTGGGTTGGTTGCCAAGTGCCATCACATGACTATGGGGGAGGGATAGCTGTTGGAACTTTGAATCCAGGTCATAAGTACCTTTTAAAGGGTCCATTGTAAGTGAAAAGTCATTGAGTAACCAGTTATATATCAGTATGTACTGTATACAAATAACAATTAAACAAAACTAAATTTATTTAAGTATAATCTTCCTTCTGTACTTCCTCAACATTACTGTTTTTTTCTTACTTTTGGGGTGGGGCATCAACTTTTTTTATATAAACATGGTTATTTTAGATATAGATGATATAAATATAGATGATAAAGATATAGACTAGATATAGTTATGTTTATCCTATTTTATGTCTTTTAACCCGTGGTTATTTTCCCTTTTGCAGAAAGTCCATTTTTTCCTTTTTAAAAAATATTTTGGTGGAGGAACTTATATTTTCAACCATGGTCTTGGAACGCATCTTAGAAAAGGATCAGTAGCCCTGGTCCCTGCTTAACATTAATCTTACTTTTACATTGTATATAACTGGAACACAACTGTCTGAAAAGCAAGAATTTTGCATACTGAACACAACCATACTTTGAATATAAATAATGTTGCAGCCATTGTATGATGAACAAATAAACAAGCCAGTAGCTTCTGCTTTCTTTGCAGAAATGACCTTGGAAAAGATTAGAATTTACTTAATCCAGAAGTTGAGCATCTGATGTGCCAATGCAGTTTCAACTGCTAGTTAAATTGGAAAGTGCTTCTGGTGCCCTCTTATTTCATGGCAGATTAAATATTTTATGTATTGTACAATTTGCATTACAAGCATCCCTGAAGTGTTAGAAGATGTCAATCTCTTGAAATGGTTTAGTTGTGGTATGTCATCTGGAATGTTTCCCTTACGAGCCTTGCCTACTTACACTCATTTTCTGGTTTGTATGTTCCTTTTTACTACAGAGACGCTGAACTTGGCATCTCCTTCTGTAAAGCTGGAAGAGGTTATTCATTTAGCCGAGCTCTGCATTGAAGTCCTGCAGCAGAATGAAGAACATCATTCAGAGGTGAGGATAACCGTATTAGCTGCACAATAACGCTTTAATAACTACCCTGCACTGCCTTGGTGTGAAACAGTTCTGTCAAAAAAACATTAAGATGGAACCTCTAATATATGTTAAAAGCAATTTACATTTGCAGAGTTCTCAGACTTGTGAAGGGTTTGAAAAATCAAATGAAATAAAGCACTGCTCCATTTCGTTTTTTATTTTGCTTCAGGTTTGAATAGTTAAAAAAAAAGAAAAGACATAAATGCTGGGGGTGGGGGCAATATAAGAGCAAAGAAAAGGTGATGCTAGCCATTATCTCACAAATAATTCTCCAGATTCTCATCTCTGAATAAAAATAAGTAGCATACCGTAATAAAAGTAGAAATGCTTCCTGTCTTAATGTAGATGCACATATTGAATAAGAGGGCCATGTTTTGTATGCTCCTCTCTTGGTTAGGCTGTTATTTATTATTATCTCTCTTATTCATTAAACAGGAACTCAGTCAACTGAACATTTAAAAATATATCACAAATATCATTGACTGCCACTGATGGTTGATACGGGTTGCTTCCAGCATCCTAGATTGATATTATTATTATTAATGTTAATATTAATATTAGTAATATTATTATTAGCAATATTATTGTTATTGATATTATTATTTCTTCTTTTTAAGAAGGGTAGCAATAATACTGCTACAGCCCACATGAAAGTTATGGGGAGCCCTATCCATTGAAGTCATCTGAACAAGTCTTTTAGTCATCAGCAAACCTTTGTTATTTGGGGAGGAGCGAAGGTGAAACCACTACCAAAGCTCAGTGGTTGAACACATGTAATCGTAGAGAGGTTTTGCAGTAATAAGAAAGTTTCTTTTATTTAACACCATGAACAAATAAAGTTTATGGAATTGCATTAATATTTTATTGACATTTTAAAAGTTTGATGAACTAGCCTTATTGAAGCATATTTTAACATAAGAACATATATATATATATATATATATATATATATATATATTCTCTGTCGGAGACACATAAAGTAGTATGCTAAGATTTAATGTCTATAAATATGATCATTCAAAACATCTGCTTTTACCTCACACTGTCAGTTCTGGATTTTAGCTTACATCTGTCATGCGTGAACTTGTTATGGATATTTTATTTTATCCTGAAGAAACAGCTGCTTCAAAGATTTGAAATTAATTCCCAAGAGGCATTCTACAATAGTATTGCCACTGTAAATACTTAATAATGCTTATATGTGAATTTCTCTTTTGAGAATATGTATTTAAATTAAAATCACTAGAAATTGCAGTGATTATGATTGAAAAAGTACATTCTTAATATTTAGTTTTAAAATGCAATGCCCATTATATACTTTTCTTTCTGCAAAATATAAATGTAGCTAGAACCACATAATGTCTGGCAGTTTATTTCTAAAATATTTAAATACATCAGTAGAACGCTGATTTTTTTAAAAGTACATAGTATATTGTGCCTCAGTTCAAACGTTAATATTTGAGAGGAAACATATCTTAAAAAATTGTACAGTGACACAAAAAGGACAAAGGATGTCCATCTTGCTAAGTTCAAACACATTTTAACTTTTTTTTCTCCTGTTCCACAACATTTCCAAAATTATGGATTCCTCCAGGGAAAAGAGGTATGTTATTCATTCCAATCAAGACGGACATTTTGGTCATGATTGCATGCATTGTTAAACCATTTTGAATATATGGCATCAATCATTCACTTTGTTTACTTGTGGCATCAAATATTTCATCTGTATCATCTTTATCTTAAAATTATACCTCCTTAGCCAACAGACAGCTGATTAAAGGTAGATATCAGACAGATTTAACTTAAAGATATTTTTCCACCAGCCTTGAACAAATAAAAGTGGAATAATTTTAATCTAACTCATAAAGTCATAGATTCAAGACTATAAAATAGAGAAATAGAGGTCTCTGACAGTCAAACAGGTACCCTCTGGCTCATACACAATATCAGTGTTTTGTTGGAGTCTTCTAATATGGCTGCAGTTCATGCATCTATGTAGCAATATGGAGAAAAACATCAAAAAATTATCTAACAAGCCATTTTACTTTTAAATATTCATGCTATTGCAAGTTCTTTGAGAACAGAATAGAAAAAGAAGATAAAAGCCTATGCAGTTTGCCATTGCTAAATATTGCAATGTTATAATTCAGTAGTACGTGAAACATATGTTGCTTTATTGTACAATACAAATTAGGAATAATAGTCATGTAATATAACAAATAAGACTTTCCTCTCATACAATATTTTTTTTCTTTTTTTCCACAGAATCTATGTAATTAACCAGTAATTGTATTCATTTTCATGTTCTTTTATATTATTCTTGATAGAACCATGCTGTCTGTGATATTAATCTTTCTTCATGACTTTATTCCTAGGCATCAGTAGATCAGGGTATGATCAAGAGATTCAAGAATTTTCTACTTTTGCTATTGAATGTGATTTATTGGAATCTGCCATGCATTACCTTTCTCAATTTATTTCCCTTTTAATATCATTTTATCTTGCTAGCTGGAAGGAAATTCTGATCAAGTTTCGTAGGGCTATAATGATTAATTACAATAAGTTCTTTCCCATTACCTTTTGAAAGGACCAAATGGTGAATGTCTATTTTTCATCTGAAAGCATTCTGAAGATAGAGTCAACATGCTTTTTCTCACCAAATACCATATCTCTTAAATTGGCTCTCATATTTATAAGTACATCTACAGTAACATGAAAAACCAGGTTCCCAGATTACCAGGGAAACACAGTTAAATCCCTAGATTATCTGTCTATCAAATTCTTTAATTTAAAATAACACTCTCACTGAAATACTATGTACATGTGCAAATTACATTGGATGCAAAACTTAACTTTATTTAATGAAGAATTTCAATTGCTTTTAAAGAGTATATGCCACATTCCATAATTTCATGATGGTGCCATTTTTAGGCCTTCTTTTATCATATCTTACATTCGCATTTGAAGGTGAATTCCACTGAGACTTTTTTTTTAA